CCCCCCCGTATCTGCCCCACATTATTGCAAGGCATATTTTACTGAGTGCTCAGCAGATCTGGGCACCCCGAGTAACAGCAAAGAATAAAAGAGAATTCCTGGTTTTTGGGATGTAGGTCAGTGGTAGAGGCCTTACCCAACACGTGTAAGGTTCTGGGTTCCAACCCCAACAATGGAGAGAGAGAGAGAGAAAAAAAAAATAGAGCCCAGCCCTCCTCAAGTATGCACACAGAAAGCAACAAATGGGGACATAAGACATTCTGTCAGACAGGTGCTTGGGAGAGAAAACAGATATAGTGTGTGTGTGGCTGGGCAGGATGCTGACATCTGAGACAGTGCAGAAGAGGAAGTCCTCAGTGAGACTCCATGTGGAGGCTGCATGAGCCTCAGGATAAAAGCCCGGCGGGTGGAGGGGACAGCACCGTAACAGGAAACCCAGTGCAAAGGTGCTGAGATGGGGTCTGGCTTGGGAGGAATGGGGAGAGAGGGAGATGAGGTCAAGGGCGGAGACCAGCTGAGTAAGGCCATCAGACCATGATAAGTGGTTTGTTTACTCTAGCTCCAACGGGAGGCAAGGGAGACTTGATGTAGGAGGCTGAAGGCTTTCTTAGGACTGCTTGAGCAGGCTGAGCAAGGAGCCCTGCAGGGAGGCTGAGAGTAGACACCCTGCTGCAGCAGGCTGGAGCAGAGGGATGAGAAAGGCCTCTGGGTTGTCCTGTGAAGGCAGAGCCTACAGGGTTCGCAGAGAAATAGTGAGGGAGAGGACGGAGCAAGGGATAGATCACGCTTGCCCTTGGCCTGAGAGACTGGAGACTCTGCCTTGTGGAGACAGAGGAATGCAAGCTTGGACACTTGGCGTTGCGCTTCATTACTAGACATCCAAGACATTACTAGACACTGTTACAGACTGCGGAGCTCATGCCTTGGGGAGCTGAGACAGGAGAATGACGTCTACAAGTTTTGGGCCAGCATAAGCTATGTAGTGAGTTCAAGACCAGTGGGGGCTACATAACAAGACCTTGTCTCCAAATACCAAACCAGGGTTAGTGAGATGGCTAGGCCACTGGGGCTGGTGACCTAAGTTCCTTCTCTGGGCCCCACAATGGTGGAGGGAGAGAATGGACTCCCCAAAGTTGACCCCTGACCTCCACACTTGTATCCAAACTCAAAAAATAATAAAACAAAACAAACAGTTAATCTTAGTCTGGGGGACACATGCTTTTGGGAGTTATGGTACCTAGTCTCTATGTCCCACCCCTTGGCAGTCCTGTGGTCCTCTCTGACATTACATCAGGATTGTGCTGCGTGACAGGATGTACCAGAATCTCCCATTTCTCTCTTGGATCGCTGCTCTGGGGGATATGAGCTGCCCAGGCAGGAGGGCACTTAAGCAACTCCACAGAGAGGCCCTCCTTCGAGGAACAAAGGCCTCCTGCCAGCTGCCACTAAGTGTTTGCATTATGCTTTTAATTTTTGCTCCGGATGCTTGATGTCCTAGGATCTTACAGGCTGGTGGAAGGCTGTCTTTCTCAGAACCTTCCATGTTTTAGAGAACAAAGGGCCAACCTTCACAACAAACCAAACAGTAGTGGGTGAATCTAGAGAGATCTAGGGCTGCAGACCTGGACCCTAGCCTCTTAGAAGGCTGATGCAGGGGAACTGCCAGTTTAAGGCCATCCTGGGCTAAGGGCTGAATTCAAGGTTAGACAGGATAACTTAGTGAGATCCTGTCTTAAAATAGAAAGTAAAAATAGGGCTGAGGAGATAGCTCACTGGCAGAGCACTTGCCAAGAAACTACCAATGAAGGGCTTTGTGGTAGAACATTCGTCTGGCACACTCGAGGCCCTGGGTTCTATGCTCAGTACCAGATACATTAACAAAAAAGACAGCCCCCATACTCCAAGCCCACCAACCAGCCAGTCCCTCCTCTGTCCTCTCTGTCCTCTCTGCTGCACACACTGTCTGCCCTGCCTTTTCCAGGAAAACTTCCTCACCCTGCGTCCCTCTCCTGGCATGTGCCACTCCTCTCAGCGGCACAGTCTTAGATGGGTGTGATGGGGGTACGCCTGCACTGCTACCACCCGAGAGGCCGAGGCAAACTGTGGCAATCCTCCTACCTCAGCTTCTCAGGGGCTGGGATTATGAAGCCACTATGCTTGGTTTGTCTGTCTGTCTGTCTCTCTCTGAAACAGGGTGTCATGTGGCTCAGGCTGAGCTTGAACTCATTATGTAGATGTGGACAGTCCTGAATGGCTGACCCATGTGCCCACCTCTGCCTCCTGAGTGCACTGCCACACCAGCTGTTTCTTTTGTTTTTCAGCCTCGGGAATCCTCCACACCCTTTTTTAGATGGGTCCTGGAATTCTCATCACTCCCTCTGCTCTCCTTCCCTCCTCTGTCCTTTCTCCTATCCTAGACCCTTTGTCCAGTTCTCTGATCTGTCACCTCCTTTATCTAACCAGGAGTTTCTCGGCTCCTCTCTTACTTCCTGGCTCCCCGACCCCACCCCTACCTCTTATATCCTCCCTCTACTTCATCCAAGTTCCTACCGCCCACCACTTTGGGCCCTGGGATCTCCCGGACTCCAGCCCCAACCACAGTCAATCTCACCTCCTCGGACTCCGCTGACCTCCGCGTGGACCAGATGAATTCCATGACCGCCACGAAGACAGCAATGATGAGGCCACAGATGAGCACAACAAAAATACCTCCAATATTCTCCATGCCCAAACCTGGAGGGTGGGGACAGCCAGGGTGTGGGCAGTGTGGGCCTGGGCCCAAGTGGCTTCTGGGAAGGAGCAGGCATAGGAAGGGGTGGCTGACCTTTGGCCCTGTGGTCCTCCTCCTTGGGGCACCGGCCGCCCTCCCACCACTTGCGCTTCAGGATCTCCAGCCTGTTGTTCTCTTGGAGCTGCAGGATGGCCAGCGTGATCTCATCCCGGAACGGAGAGCCTGGCCAGGCACATGAGGGGATCACCATGGGCCCCACTACCCCAAACCCCACCTGCCCTGCCACCTCTCCCAGTTTCTACCCGATCTCGTCACACAACAGCCAAGAGAGAGGTCAGGCCTCTCCAAGCCAATGGCAACTAGGAGGAGGCTCTCTGTCAGGGGGCTGCCATTCCAAGGAGCCCACCTACACTGGCCTCCCAGAAGGTCCCCATATCTGCCAGACAAAGCTCTACTTTAGGGCCTTCACTTCTGCCCAGAACGTCCTTTCTCTCCCCTCCCTCAGGTCTCTGCTTACACACTGGCTCCTCACGAGTCTTCTATGGCAACTTAATTCAAAATGGCACCAAGTTTTCCACTCCCTGTCATCTCTGCCTCTACATCTGTTCACAGTCCTTGTCAGCCCCTACTACTATAGGATATGGCTCTATCTGTGGTCTAACATGCCTGCCACCTAGAAGGGCATCGCAGCAGTCGGCTTAGTGCATCCCCATCCTTCTGTATCCGCCCCCTTCCCCCTCGTGTGTTCTCCTTGGGCTCTCTATTCTGAAGTACCTACTGAATGCCAGGCAGGAGAGAGATACGAGCAAGTGGAGATGGTGAGTGTTTTTTGGGTACCCAGGGGCCAGATTCTGGGCGGACAGAGTAAGTACCCAAGTCTCACGTTTGAGAAAACATTACCAAAGTCTGGAGCCAAACTAGTGCTTGGGTTTCTCGCGCTGGGCAGTGAAACAGTATGTACTGAAGCATAAACTTTTTCTCCCTGCTCCTTCCTGCTTTTTCTGAGTGGTTGCTCTGAGCTAGGATATAGGCTTGGTGTAGAGAATATGAAGCAAAGTAAACCAAGTCTTAGCTGAGCACGGTGTTAGAGCTGAGCACGGAAGTGGCACACGCGCGCACACACACACACGCACACACACACACACACACATCCCTAGTACTGGAAGGTGGAGGTGGGAGGATCAAGAAGTTCAAGGTCATCCTCATCTACAACCTGAAATCCTGTCTCCCTCGGAGGTGTTGGACCCTGTAGTTCATGTTAACTGAGGAGTACATGCAAAGTCACCTCAGTTCTCTTAATATCCCCCGAGGCTGGAGCTCACTGGTTTCTAGGCTGACTTTTTGTGTGTTCAAAGTGTAGAAGCTCAGGCTGGTGACCATACCTATCCAGGGTCACACGGCAAGGCTGCTTGTCTTATGGAGTCGGGCTTGGGATATTCCTGAGCTCACGCACACATCTTGGTTAGTCAGCCCCCACATCCCACATTTCCAGTTCAGCCATGCTCATACCCAGCGGCATGCCGATGCCATAGCCCTTGGTGTCGAGGAGGCCCCCGATCTGGGTGAGGTTGCAATTGAGGCGCCGGTGGTACTCATTCATGGTGGACTCCAGCAGGAAGGCGTAGCGGGAGTTGAGGACTCGGGCAATTCCTTCCTCGGTGCTCTTGACAAACACACTAGGCTGTTTCGACTGCATGTAGTTCCACATCCGCTGGTATGTCTGGTACCGCGAGTTCTTGGCAGAGGGAGTATGAAGGAAGATGGGTGAGGGCCACTCTGACGGTTTCCCTCGAGCCTTGTCCCCTCCCTTTCCCACATACACAAGAGTGAATTCATCTCAACTTGTAGCTCCCCTCCTTCCTCCTGACAACTCATACCACTTGGCCCAACCCTCCCAGCAGCCTCCTTGACTCTGCTCTGCCTGTGCCACCCAGGCCTGGCTCACATTAGATTCCCATCTGCCTCCATGGCGAGAGTCAGACTCTCCAGCCAGGTAGCAGCTCTCCCCCACAAGAGGTCAAGTATGTCGACTGCCCTCGTACCTAGCCTGAGAGGTCCTAGGGGTACCCCACCTGGAAGAAGGTCATGGTGGAGCCGGCGTGGATAGTGCCATACTCAATGTTGGTCTGATCCGCCAGGTCGTCAGCCGACTCCACAGGCACCTCCATGCGCTGCACCGTGAGGAAGGCGGCCAGGTTGGCCGTGTAGGAGGAGATGATGATCAAAGTGAAGGCCCACCTGAGGGGTGGGAAGCGTGAGCCACAGGCTGGAGTCATCTCTTGCACCTTGACCTGTAACCATGGCCCCCTCCTGAGTGGCTCCTCCTGACCCTTGACCCCAGTGGCTCTAACTTTCAAAATGCTCAGTGCCTGTCAGTTAGGGCAGAGGGCTGGAGTGGGGTTCTAGAGCTTGACTCCCTGGGTTAAGTACTGCTTCAGCAACTTCTGACTCCAGGTATGAGAGAGGACAATGGTCTGGAAATATGCTTTCAATGTGAGCAGCAAGAAAAGCTGGACAGAATAGAGGAAATCTTTAGCAGTGCAGAGATTAGAACTAGTGTCTCAAGCATGCTAGGCACGTACTCTACCACTGAGTCACACCCCAGCCCCTCACTGGGGGATTCTAGGCAGGGGCTCTACCACTGAGTCACACCCCAGCCCCTCACTGGGGGATTCTAGGCAGGGGCTCTACCACTGAGTCACAC